GGAGAGAGGAACCAGTTAGGTGCAGCGTTCCGTTAGTTTTGTGGATGGGGCTCATCAGAAGAGCTCGTCGGCGACGCCGGGGCGTAAGCTCCCTCACTTTCGCTGATATGCCAAGGTCGTAAAACAACAGGACAGCCAGTGATGCCAGTCAGCACGTGCAGGGTAGAGTGACTTGTCAGTTTCTGTTGCAGCAGTGCAGGTAGAGTGCAGCACTTCGCAGGGTCCTCCCGGTCAGCTCGCCAAGTGTGTGTTCCCGCACCCTCTGCTGCTAGATCCTTGTAACGTGGGCAAGTGTGTGACAGGAAGTGTTGTGGGTTGTGTGTGTGTGTGTGTCTGTGTCTGCTAGGAACGGTAACCTCTCAGTCCTTAACTCTAGCCCCAGTTCGGTTAACACCCAGCAGTTGGACTGCGACAACAGTCGCCGCCCCGTTGTTGAAAACAACCCCGCGAGCAACCCTCTCGAGCAGAGTAGAGAGCTTTCCAGTGTAGAGCAAACAGCAATGTGGGCCGACGCAGTCCAGTCAGAGCGCCACACGTTCGCCAGCCTCGCCGAGGTGCTACGCAGCAAAGACCTCGTGCGTTTCCTGCCCCAGCTACAGCAAGCTGGCGTTAAGTCAGCGTATGACTTGGAAAGTTGCCCCAGGTCAGTACTCAGAGGTATCTTCGGCGACGCCCTGTTAGACGAGCTCTTATCCCCAACAGCCCGCCCCAGCAAGCGATCCCGTCAGGACACACCGCAAGTGCGTCCTAGGACGCGGGGGTCGCTTCAGCGGCTCGGATTGGAGCCAGCACCGGCAGGAGCTCCCGCAAACCCCCCGTTAGATTTAGAAGAAGCCGACAGGATCTTCTTGAGAGAGCGTTGGGCCGCTACCTCTCAGGCACCTCGAGAAAGCAGATGGGCGACATGGTCCCGCATGTCAGAGAGCAGAGGACACCCAGCGGTACCCATCACTCGGCAGTCCCTGTTCGCGGTTGGTGCCTTACTGAAGGCAGGGGGCTACCGTTCAGCTTCCCAGTACATCTCGGTAGCAAAACAGCACCATAAAGAGGCGGGTCATGTGTGGGGCCCCGACCTAGACGAAGCCAGGGCTCAAGCCTTGCGCAGCATAAACCGCGGTTTAGGCCCAGCTAACCCCAAGTTAGACCTCAAGCTCGAGTCCGCAGGCCCGCGCTTTGTACAGGAGGTCAAGATGGCATTCGACGAACTCCGTGTCCCGTTAGCCGAAAGGATCCGGTTCGCAGCACAGGCGTGCATCACTGCTTGCTGGTTTCTCCTTCGGGGGATCGAACTTGCTAACATCCAAGCTAGAGACATAACATTTAACAGAGCCGCCCGCACTGTGAAGTTGCAACTTCCTGTTAGCAAAACTGACCCTGAGGCCAAAGGTTGTTACCGGGTCCATCGCTGCATCTGCAAGCCACGCCACGACCCGGACTGTCGACAGACAACCCCGCCTGAGCTTTTCGGTACGGCCTTTCAGCAGTGCTCTTGCAGGAATGGGCTACACGTGTTATGCGTGTATCACGCCCTCTTGTTAGTTGTAGTGCAACTCCGAAAGGAGCAGAAGTGGGAACCCACAACCCACCTTTTTAGAGCAACCGAGAGCGAGGTGGCCTCCAAGAGTCAAGTCATCTTCTTAGCCAGAGCCTGTGCATACGTGCTTCAACAAGAGCAACTCTCGGAGTGGGGCCTCGACGCCGTCGACAGATGGGCTCAACACGTCTTTAGGGTTGCGGGAGCCCAACTTTTTGCAAGGTCCTACTTGGATGTGTCCTACATCCAACTGTTAGGCAGGTGGGGAAGCTCGTCAGTTTTGAGGTACGTACAAGAGGCCGCAGTGATGCTACCAGAAAAAGCCGCAGAAGCAGTCAGCGCTCACGTCAGTCAGCCAGCCGTATCCGCTAGGCCCTCGTTGGCGAATGCCAGGGTTCAGCCACTTCCCGACAGTCCCCATATTCAAGACCTAGTCAGAGAGGCAGTGCATCAAGCCTTGCAAGGTTCGCACATGTTCGTGCACAACACCCGCTCCCGCCTCTGCCACAAGCCCTCCCCTAGCGAGAAACAGCTCCCTAGTGAGTCGTGGGTCACCCTTTGTGGTAAATGGTGGTACGGCGTCAGCTCTACCCGTAGGAACCCTATCATGTTAGAAGGGTACACAAAGTGCTCCCTGTGCTTCCCGTCAGAGGTCAGCCG